GTTGACATATCTCGGTTGTTTTAATTAAAAATTGTTTTCTTTTTTTTTTTTTTCCTTTTTCTTCTTTCTTTCTTTCTTTCTTTTTTTTCTTTCTAAAGGTATTCTTTCGTTGGGTTACGTAATTAATAATTACGTAATAAGAAAAAAAAAAAAAAATAGAAAAATGAAAGATTATACTTGCGTTTATACACGGCACGATTGCGAATTGAGAAAAAAACAATTGTCGGAAATGACAAAGAAAGAAAAATTTAAAGATTCAATAATACAAAGGATTTTTTTAGCATCGCAATTTAATTATCAAAGTCTTCATTATTTGAGGAGCAAGGGAGCCGTTCAATTGGAAATAAACCGTCAAAAATTTTCGAGTCATTGGTATATTTTTCATCCGTTTTCAATGGGTAGATTTGTTTGGCAAATTTTCATGTTTTTCATATTCATGGTATCCGTTTACTATTGTCCGATAAGGGCGGCTTTTTTCAATTCACTCATGGCAAAATATTTACTCATGAAAAATAAGAACGCGACGCACATAATGAAAACTCTTTGGATTAATGTTTTACTCGATATTATTTGGTTGATAAATTCATTCGGATATTTTATTACCGGGTACTACGATGAGTCCACGGATAAAGTTATTTTAAATCCAAAAACGATAGCAAAACGTTATTTATCCACGGGTTTTTTCATAGATATAACCACATCGATTCCACTCGAGGCCACCGTCGCATTTATTTTCGGTTTAAAAGCCTACAGCGAAATGAATCATAATTTATTTATTTTTCTTCACGTGTATAACATATATTCTAATTTGAGGTATCATCGTCACGTTGTTTTTTGTTATAAAAATCGAAATGCCAGTATATTATCAAATTTATCACTCCGTTTGTTAGCTTCAATTATTGTTTACACAATTATAATTATTTACACGGTTTATTTCAATTTGATTTTTCCACAAATGATTTACGGTACGAAATTGTTTTTAAGAAGAGCTCAAGCTACACTTTCCTGGGTTCAAGTCGGAGAAATATATCACAAAGATTTTTTAAATCAATTAAAATATTCAGTGTCGAAAGCCGTGCAAGGTTACGTCGGCGCGACAGATTGGGAAGAAATAATAGATTTGGTCGATTATATATTGGCAATATTATTTTCGAATTTGGGAAGGTTTTGCACCGTATATTGCGTCATATGGTTTTTGCAATGCATAACGGCTGCGAACGTGTTGAGAACGAAATTTAATTTGATAACGGATCAATTGAAAACGTACATGAAACAAAAAGAAATACCGATTTACATGAAAAAACGTTTGAATCGTTTTTATTTTTATCGTTTTCAATCTCACTATTTCCGGGGGAGAGCACTTTTGGATAAGCTACCAAAATCATTGAGAAAAGAAATAAGTATGTACACATGCCAGAAATTACTGCACAGCACGGAAGTGTTTCAATCCGTTCCAAAAAAAATATTAACACGTTTCACACGTAAAATGTACAGGGAAATGTATTTTCCGCAAGATGTCATAGTTCGAGCCAACACATACGGCGAATCCATGTATTTCATTTGTTCCGGTACCGTGTCTGTATCCACGTCGAACGATGTGCAAATAATGCTTTTGCACGACGGTGATTTTTTCGGGGAAATAGCACTGATAAGCGATAACAGGAGGAGAATCGCAACTGTAACGGCCGTTACAATAACGGAACTTTATCGTTTGGAAGAATTCGATTATAAAAAAATTATACAATCGTATCCGGATGTATTTAACAGATTAGAAAAAATCGCCATAGCAAGATTTAAAATGCTTTTAACCGTTGAAAAAAGTATAATAGAAGATTCGTAAAAAAAAAAAAAAAAAAAAATTAACTCGAGATCTCTTCATGTATATCTCGACGCGTACAATAATTTTATATATATATATATATTCCAGTATATAAAAATCTCATCACGATAATAATAATAATAATAATTATTTGTTATCATTTGTTGCATCGACCGTTATTTATTTTAATTCTTCACATTGTTATTATAAAAAAAAATTATTATTATCTTTTTTTTTTAATAATTATTACTCGTCGAACGCATTAATTATTATTATTATTTTTTTTGTTAATAAAAAATTTAATTTTATCGGGTGGTTTTGTTTTTTTTTTTAATTAAAAACTCAACGCTATAGTTTTATAGCTTAGCTATAAATAATTACTTTTATTATTATTATTATTTTCCCATAATTTAATAATATAAAATACATAAGTTTTTTTTTGTATCAATTAATAACTCTCTTCGATTTAAAAAAAAAAAATTACGTAACGTTATTAATTTACAGTATTATTATTATTTTATTGTTGCGTGATTATGGTAATAAAAAAAAGTAATTAATATTTATAAATTTTTAATAAAGCCTTTTTTTTAAAATTGTTATTAAGTAATATGAAAATATTTTGGGGGTTTAAAGGGATGTGGATGTAACGTAGGAAAAATTACTATGGATGGGTGTTTTTTAAATTAGTATGCGTGTGTACGCATGCGTAATATGCGTACACGCATATTAAACATAATTAAAATTAGTAGGAATCTTAATATGTGTAAAAAAATTTGAATGAATAAAACAATGGTAATTTATTATTACGTATAATTTTGTATAATAATAAAATTTATTTATTATTATTATTTTTAAATGGGTAGAATTTTAAATTTATATACATATAAAATTGTTGGTCTAATAACGAATAAAATTATTACGTAATAATTTCTTTTAAAAAAAAAAAAAAAACTCCATTCAGGATCTCGGAGAAGTTTTAAACGTAAAAAATTTTTTAGTGACTTTCTCAAGGTTTCTTCGTTTCATAATGGATTTGGTTTTTGATTTATTTCATCACGTTTTTTTTTTTTATTCGTGTTCTTGCTGATGGGGTGGTACTACCACTACTACCACTATTACCACCACCACCACCACTACAACTACTAACATAACAAATCTGCCACGAATTGACAGTTCGTACGCTTTAAACGTGATTAATTTTAACGTTTGATAATTTTACATTCGTTTTTCTTCCACTTCTTTGTTATTTATATTATAAAATGGAGTAATAATATTTTAATAAATTATTTTGTAAAATAATAATAATAAAAATTATTACCCAGTAATAAAATCATAATTTTACACACACAGGCACACTTCGAAAGTTGTTCGGTGGTGGGGAGGGAAAAAAAAAATTTATTATCGAATAGTAAAACTTCTAAACCGTAATTTTTTTTTTTAAAATGTCAAAGGTCGCGTGCACGCAGAATCTTTTTTTTTTTTTTTTTTTTTGGAGTGCGGACTGCATATTTTAATTTTATCTCGTTACACGTTTTTAAAAATTTATGCAAAAAAAAAAAAAAAAAAAAAATTGGGTTTGAGTTTTTTTTTATTTTTAATTTAATAAAATCTCGCCATTTTTTTTTATTTTCTAATCGTAAAATTAAAAAAAAAACTTACGGTAAATATTACGTAATTTTTTTTTATTACCCGTCGTAAAAAAAAAAAATTTTAATAATTTAAAATTTTTTGAAGTGATGATACCACGTTAATAAATATAAATAATAATAAATTACTTCAATTTTTTTTTTTTTTTTTGCAGGGGAAAATAACAAACAAACAAAAAAATTACCAACTGTTTCCGGTAAATTTGTACAATTCTAAAAAGGTAATAAATTTTAATTTTAAATAGCGCGTGATTTAAATTTAAATTTAAATTTTATTTATTTATTGGCCGTTATGGACGTTTTATAACTTTTCCCATTTAAAAAAAAAAAAAAAAACACGAGGAAATGAATTCCGAAAATAAAAAAATTTTTTTTTTTTAATTTTTGAATATTCAATACAACGACAAACAATGATAGAGATTTGAATATTAATAATTATTTACGGTAATTTTTATTACCATTGTTTTCTCTCCCCCCCGAAAAAAAAAAATTGTTTCGTTTCCCCAAAAAAAATTTAAAAAATTTTTTTTTTTTGTTTTTTTTTGTTTTTGCGTTTGATTTTATTTGGGCGTTTGTTTTTTTTGTAATTTTTTCATTTTTTTTT